AAACTCGACTCCCGCTGTGCGTGCAGGTGGAGGAGGCTCAGTCCCGGCCCCCCGGTCTCCTCCCAGAGCCCCCAGCAGCAGGGCAGCCTGGTGTGCTGGGGCCAGCAGGCAGCAGGATTCTAACACAGGACGCAGACAGAGGAAGACTGTCCTTGCAAGGGAACTGACACGGGAAGAGATCTGCGCACAGACGGCCGATGCCTGCTAGTTCCTGGCCGTCTTGAACAAGTTTAAGAAGAGGGCCATTCGCTTAGCAACATTCCTCTCATGACCAAAGACAGAGGCAGAGCCAGGGGGGCCTGCGAGCTCGGGAGAAAGCAGACGGGGCTCTCTGTACACCCGCAGGCCGCTGGCGTCACCTCCAGGGGCTCAGCTCCGCGAGGTCGCTGACCACACCAAGTTCTCACTGAAGGCGACTGTGGATCAGGGTAAAAATCATTGTCCAGCGTAATTCCCCTGCTTTCCCAGAGCAGTTCTGCTGCAACTAGAGCTGCCGTCTCCCCCTTGCTCCGAGGCTGCTGGTTTGCAGAACTGCCACTGTGAAAACAGAGCTGCTTTTAATTCAGTTGCCACGCTTCCCACCGGGTTATCTGCAAATTGTGCTGTTTCTGTTTATGTGACATGAGCAGTGTTCGGCAGGAAACACCATGAAGTCCAGGGCCGGGTCAGCCAGTGGCCTGCAAGGGTGTGGCCACAGGGATCCCCTCAGGATCCTGGCAGGAGGCAGTGCCCCTGGAACAAGGGGCAGGCAGTGCAGAGGAGGGCAGCTGCCTCCAGCAAGGTGACCCCACAGCATATACCTTGTACATTGCAACTTTGTCACCTCAGATCGCAGAAGCAAAAGCACAGAGCTGTCCTAGAGCAGGTCTACAACACATTGTCCTTAAGAAATTTAGGATGTATATATATATGTACAACCACATTCACAGATAAAACCTGTTAGGATGTGTGCACATGTACAACCACATTCACAGATAAAACCTGTTAGGATGTGTATATATGTACAACCACATTCACAGATAAAACCTGTTAGGATGTATGTATCTGTACAACCACATTCACAGATAAAACCTGTGAGGATGTATATATGTACAACCACATTCACAGATAAAACCTGTTAGGATGTGTGTATATATGTACAACCACATTCACAGATAAAACCTGTTAGGATGTATATATGTACAACCACATTCACAGATAAAACCTGTTAGGATGTATATATGTACAACCACATTCACAGATAAAACAGGTTAGGATGTATATATGTACAACCACATTCACAGATAAAACCTGTTAGGATGTGTGTATATGTACAACCACATTCACAGATAAAACCTGTGAGGATGTGTATATGTACAACCACATTCACAGATAAAGCCTGTTAGGATGTGTGTATATATGTACAACCACATTCACAGATAAACCCTGTTAGGATGTATATATGTACAACCACATTCACAGATAAAACCTGTTAGGATGTATATATGTACAACCACATTCACAGATAAAACAGGTTAGGATGTATATATGTACAACCACATTCACAGATAAAACCTGTTCGGATGTGTGTATATGTACAACCACATTCTCAGATAAAACCTGTTAGGATGTGTGTATGTACAACCACATTCACAGATAAAACCTGTTAGGATGTGTGTATATGTACAACCACATTCACAGATAAAACCTGTTAGGATGTGTATATATGTACAACCACATTCACAGATAAACCCTGTTAGGATGTATACATGTACAACCACATTCTCAGATAAAACCTGTTAGGATGTATGTATCTGTACAACCACATTCACAGATAAAACCTGTTAGGATGTGTATATATGTACAACCACATTCACAGATAAAACCTGTTAGGATGTATGTATCTGTACAACCACATTCACAGATAAAACCTGTTAGGATGTGTATATATGTACAACCACATTCACAGATAAAACCTGTTAGGATGTATGTATCTGTACAACCACATTCACAGATAAAACCTGTTAGGATGTGTGTATATGTACAACCACATTCACAGATAAAGCCTGTTAGGATGTGTGTATATATGTACAACCACATTCACAGATAAACCCTGTTAGGATGTATACATGTACAACCACATTCTCAGATAAAACCTGTTAGGATGTGTGTATCTGTACAACCACATTCGCAGATAAAACCTGTTAGGGTGTGTGTACATGTACAACCACATTCACAGATAAAACCTGTTAGGATGTGTGTATATGTACAACCACATTCACAGATAAAACCTGTGAGGATGTGTGTATGTACAACCACATTCACAGATAAAACCTGTTAGGATGTGTATACATGTACAACCACATTCACAGATAAAACCTGTGAGGATGTGTATATATGTACAACCACATTCACAGATAAAACCTGTGAGGATGTGTGTATGTACAACCACATTCACACAAAAAACCTGTTAGGATGTGTATACATGTACAACCACATTCACAGATAAAACCTGTGAGGATGTGTATATATGTACAACCACATTCACAGATAAAACCTGTTAGGATGTGTGTATGTACAACCACATTCACAGATAAAACCTGTTAGGGTGTGTGTATACATGTACAACCACATTCACAGATAAAACCTGTCCATGCACAGACATACCTGCATCACACATAGCTAAAGATACGTACACGAGACTTACAGATGCTACATATATACACACTCACATGTAACATCTACACATATCTCCTCCTGACTATATATACAAACATATACACACATGTAAATATCAACACGTGTGAGCACATGAATACATGCGCACACACATGAAAGATCCCGGGAACATGTGAGCATCCGTATGTGTGCACAGAGTCCACAGGGAAGCACGGTCAAGACCAGCAAGACAGTTGTGAAGAATGTCTGAGTTTGATGCTGTGTCACTGAATATCAAGACACAGTGTGAAGCTGATGAGGACGGCGCCGTCCCAGTGGGACGATGGAGCAGCGAGGCCAGCACACAGCTCACTTACGACCAGGTCAGGTTGCAGAGCAGCGGGTTGGGAGTGGTCACGTACCCACCCGTGCTGGCCAGTGGAGGTCCCCAGGACAGACTGGGGATGAGGCCACAGCACCTGCCAGGACTCTGCCCCCAGGGCGATGAGGAGACGCGCTTGCCCTTCCCCTTCCTGCTCAGACAGCTGAAGCCCTGGCTGTCCCACAGGAGACAAACACGGGCACTCTGCAAGGCCAGGAGAAGACAGCCAGGCCAGCTGGGACGCCGGCACCTGGTGTCCCCGGGGCGAGGCAGTGAGCCCACCCACAGCAGAGGGGCGGCAGCACACAGGATATGCTTTAGCCACTCCCCACAGAATGGCGTCCCTGCCCCTCCCACCCGGCAGCTGCTCTCACTGAGGCCCTCTGCAGCAAGGTCGCCCCCAGTGGGGGACTCAGGACAGCCATCGTCCCCCAGTGGCAACATGGCCATTCCTGCAGTAGCATCTGCTGTGGCCATGAAGGAAGCTGGGACCCCCACAGCTACCCAGCAGTGCCAGTGACAGGTCCTCCTCCCAACCCAGTCTCAGAGGTCCACGGAGGCCAGGTGAGGGACCTGGATGTCTACGCCCACACTGCTGCTGCAGCCGTGCCGGTCAGTTCTAGATAAGACCCAGGAGCTCGTGGTTTCAATCCGAATCACGAGTCACACCGAGAACCAGGAAGCTCTCAAACCATGAGAAAAGGACTCCAGGAGGTGTCAACCCCAAGATGAAAAAGTTCACGGAATCACCTGACCCAGATTTTAAAGCATCCGAATGCGCCTGGCAAGGCTGCGGAAGATGGTCCGAACAGTTGGGCCCCCGCCACCCACACGCGAGACCAGGATGGAGCTTCTGGCTCCTGACTTTGTCCTGGCCCAGCCCTGGTCACTGCGCCATTTAGGGAGTGAACCACAGGATGGGAGATTTTCTTTCTCTCTCTCTCTCTCTCTGCCTCTCCCTCTCTCTCTGCCTCTCCCTCTCTCTCTGTAACTCTGCCTTTCACATAAATAATCTTTAAAAAAAAAGATGTTAAAGCATCCGTGACAAAAATGCTTTAATGGGTGATTACAAATACGCTTGAAACAAATGAAGTAATGGAAACAGAAGATATAATGAAGAACCAGATGGAAAGCTTAAAATTGAAAACTATGAAAATCAAAATAAAGAGCTCAGTCAATGGTCTCAGTGGAGGAATGGATGACACAGAATAATAAATCAGCATGCTGGAAATGGAAAATAGAAATTACCAAATCTGAAAAACAGAGAGGAAACAGAAACATTCACTAAAAAAAAAAAGGAGCCCCAGAGACCTGCGGAAGTGTAACCAAAGATCCAGTGTTTACCAGGAGAGAGGAGAAAGAGGAAGAGGCTATAGAAACACTCAAAGAAGTAACAGCTGAAAACTTAAACAAATTTACCAAGAGACGACCTGATAGAGTCAAGAAGTTAAGCAAATCCCAAACAGGATAAACTCAGATCCATACGAAGCCATGTCATAATTAAACTCCCGAAAAATACAGACAGAGAAGAAAAATGACACCTTACCTGCAGGGGAAAACGACGACAGGTGCCATCAAAACCCACGCAGGCTGGGGAAAGCCGCAGGATATTTCCCAGGCGCAGAGAGAACACAACGTCACAGAAGTGGCCCCCAGGCCCGCAGGGAGCTCGTGCCAGCTGCCGGCCCACGTGCTGTGAGGGGGGGCTTGGCGCAGTCCTCCCAGGAGGGAAATCCCAGGAGAGATTTCTAGAAACCTTTTATTGAAGGTACACCAACTTCATGCATGTCACACACACAACTTCAGGACACAGCGATTCCCCCATCCCTCCCTCCCTCCCACTCTTCTTCCTCCTCCCTCTCCTATTCCAACTCATTTTTTACTAAGATCTATTTTCAATCAGCTTTATACACGTTATTAACCCTACACTAAGTAAAGAGTTCAACAAACAGTATGAAGAAAAAAAAATGTTCCTTAACCGAAAAACATGGAACAGTTCCCGAATTTGTGTGCCATCCTGGGCACAGGGGCCGTGCTAATCTCTCTGCATTGTTCCAGTCTGTTGTACACGCGCTGCCGAAGTGAAACAAGAGAAGGGATCTCGAAACGCTGAGGAGGAGGAAGGACAGGACAGCGCGTGAGAGAATGCACGGGGCTTTCATGTTTCTCTCAGGTTGACCAAATTACATCTGACAGCCCAGGAAGCCTAACACGGTCAGATGTGGCTGTAACAGCACAGACATGCTGGAGAAAATCATATTCTACCCAGCAGATGCGAAGGGATGCGTGCTCCATGATGCCCCGGCGACAGTCATGCTAACGTTAACGGCTCCTGCGGGGTCCTTTGCGGCACAGGCGATGGGAGCAGGATGCGCCCACCCTGTGGGGCTCCCTGGGAACTGACTGCACTCACGGAGTTAGAAATACGCTCACGCGGCTCGCACCGGTGAGGCGGGGGAGCAGGGCAGCAGTGACCCAGCATGCTCTGGAAGACTGTGCCGCCTCTGGGGACAGAAGCTGGGATTCACACCTCGAGCATGGGGCCCAGGACAGTGCAGCCAGGCCCACGTGGGGCGACTCAGTCCTAGCAAGCGTGTGTTAGAATTTCCACGTTTAATTATTATTTTTCTTTTTTATTATTGATTTTAAATTCACAAGACAGACCTTGTGAGGCAGTAGCACCCGAGTTCCTGTGAGGCCCTCGGTGCGTCTCCCCCATTAACTTCCTGACTCAGTCTCTCACCACGCTTCCCCCGGTCTTCCCTGAACTCATTTTATCTCTGCCACCCTCACGGCCTGTGGCAGTCAACCCTCTGTTCACCCTGCGCTCCCCCGTGCAAGGGAGAACATGCAGGATTTGTCTTTCTGTCTGGCTGTCACTCAACAGACTATCCTCCAAGTCCACCCATTTCCCTGCAAATGGCAGGATTTGGTTCTTTGTTGTCACTTTAAATTGTAAGGCCTCTTGCAACTAGACATGAATCCAGCTTTCCCCGGGTCTGCAGTGTTATTCTGCACACGCCATCTCCTGACACCATCCTTTCTTTCCTCTTGAGGAGGAGAGGGCTGTTAGCAGCGGATCTCCCGTGACTGATGCTGCAGACGGGCTTGGAGTCGGCCCCGTCGGGCCCACCCTTCCCTGCTTCGGTGCGTGTGGCTTCCTGGGAAGGGCCCGGCCAGGCTGGAACCCCTATTCCTAGCCGCGCAGCTTCTGCTTAATGGAGCAATCATTTGTACGTCTCAGTGGACAGAATCAAAGGGTGATCTGCGTTTATTCCAGGCAATTTCTCCTGTTGTTTTTCTTAATCCAAGAGTATTAATATTCTCTAACGAGGATTTTTTTTATTTTGAGATCTGCTGTTAGGAGGGTGCTCACCCTCCCTTCTTTCCTGGAGCGCCCAGCAGCCGTGAACAGCTCACTCCAGGTCGTAACGCACACAGCGCGTGAGCAACTTCCTGTAAAGGGACGAGGGTGAGGGGGCGTGTGCATGTTCTCAGGACGGTGGAGCTCTGAGGGTCGCAGGGCCGCCAGCCCAGCCCAGTGACCGGGATGGCCTCTGGTCTGTCGTCCCGTGCAGGCCAGCCCTGCTGTGTGACGGGGCCCCGGTATTCCAACGCCCATGCGGAGGGAGCCACGCATCGTGACAGGGCGGTGTCTGCTCTGAGCTCGGTGCAGGATGTGTCTCTCCCACACACCTTGTGAAGTCAGTACCGTCACTACCCCTTCTTCAGGTTAGGAGATGAACACTCGGCATTTGAAGCTGCCTTCAGCCTCGTGGCACTCCCGAGAGCACCATGGGTTACCACGGCTCTACTGGAGTCGCCCTGGAAGGCAGCCAGGGTCCCCACTCTCACTGTGTCTGCTCAGACTCACGCGGTCCGCTCTGGAAACACGGCCTCACGTGCAGCACCAGCGTCTGTCGGTGCATGAAGGACCTCGGCTCCGTCATGTTGGACGGCCTGGTTTCCCTTGGAGGAGGGACTGACCAAGATGTCATCACCATGGAAAATCATGCTGGCTCTTTGTTCTTAAAATATTCAATTAAAAAAAATATCCTAGAGCTGGGGAGCGGACAGTGAGTGGTGCTCAGGTATCCCGCTGCACAGCGTGAACTTTTTTTTAAAAAAGGATTTTATTTATTTATTTGAGAGGTATAGTTACAGAGAGAGGTCTTCCATCCACTGCTTCACTCCCCAAATGGCCGAAATGGCTGCGGCTGTGCTGATTCGAAGCCAGGAGCCTCTTCCAGGTCTCCCATGTGGGTGCAGGGGGCAAGGACCTGGGCCATCTCCCACTGCTTTCCCAGGCCATAGCAGAGAGCTGGATGGGAAGTGGAGCAGCCGGGACTCGAACCTGGGCTGCTGGCAGCAGAGGCAGAGGCCGAGCACACTACGCCACAGCGCCGCCCCATCATTAACTCCTGAATACCAGGTGATGTCGGCTCCCCGAACTTCGTGAGGTTTCATCTCCTTAAATACAGCTGAAAGTCAACCTGCCGTATTCTCTGCTGTGTATTGTTTGGCAAAACTTCGCAGTACAGTGGAGTTGTTCGTTTTAAAAACCAAAGATGTTAAAATACTGCTGCACATCTGTGTGGCCTGCTCTCAGAAAGCAATTCAACATGTCTGGGAAATTAGAATCGCCAGCTCTCTCCTAAGGAAGGGCACGGGGGCGGGGCACGCAGCCGGCCAGCTGTTCTCAGGTCCGGCAAGGCCGCGGGCCGGGACACCGGCCGTGCGTCCGGAGGGGACAGGGGTGGGTGCCTGGGTCTGCGGACGGCTTCGAGGGCCACAGACGACCACACACCTCTGGACACTCCAAGGGCAGCAAATTGCCCTTTGCAGCAGCCCAGAGGGAAGACTGCTGAGCGTCTGGTTTCCTCCAGCGGAGTATTAAGAACAGAAGTCTCCCACTCACCCTGGAGGCCATCCTGACGGCTCAGGCGGGAGACGCCCGGGCGAAGCAGCAGCAGCGCCCGCCGCCTCGCAGCCAGCACGCGCGGGGCAGCCTGGGAGCGCACAGCCGGCGTCGCGCGCTTCCCGCCAACACCCGCGGGCCGGCCCGTGCCGCCGCGGGGGAGCCTGGGAGCGTCCCGCGAGCCGGCCCGTGCCGCCGCGGGGGAGCCTGGGAGCGTCCCGCGAGCCGGCCCGTGCCGCCGCGGGGGAGCCTGGGAGCGTCCCGCGAGCCGGCCCGTGCCGCCGCGGGGGAGCCTGGGAGCGTCCCGCGGACCGGCCCGTGCCGCCGCGGGGGAGCCTGGGAGCGTCCCGCGGACCGGCCCGTGCCGCCGCGGGGGAGCCTGGAGCGCACAGCTGGCGTCGCGCGCTTCCCGCCAACACGCGTCCATGGCGCGTCCCGCGGGCTGGCCAGCAGAGGCGTCACCAGAGCGGGCAGAGAGCACCCCGAAACTCCGACGTGCCCGCACTGTGAGGAGACGGCTGTGCACCGTGGTGAGGCCACGCGCACCCCGAAACGCCCACGGGACCTCAGGGCGCGGCGCCCCACGAAGGGGCAGGAAGGGATGCCTAAGGGAGAGGCCCCGGAAGCAGTGAGGGGCTGGAGTCGCGATTTCCGCGGCCACCGAGAGGAGTGGGGGCGCGGAGTGGACAGGGCGGGCGGCCGAGTCTGGGGCAGTGCCGAGGGCCCCGCGCCCCTCGCAGCCCCACGGCCGCAGCCACTCTCGCTGGGCGCGTGGTCGGAGAGGCGCTGACTGGGCGGACGGAGCCCGGCCTGTGCGGGGGCTCAGGGCTGGGGTCGTCCGGGAGAGAGGGCGGAACCCGCGCAGCAGCCCCGCCCGCCGGAGCCCCCGCAGGATTGGGAGGTGGGCCGGGTTGCCGGACTCCTCTTGGGAAAGCCCACCTTGGCCTGTGACTGGCACCCGAGCCCGCCAGGGAGACAGGAGTGGAGTGAAGGCTCGTCCCGCCACAGCTCTGGGCCCAGGCCGCGGCGCAGCCGGGTGATGCCGGGTCTCACCCAGAGCGCCAGCGCCGGGGGCAGCTGAGAGTACTGAAGCAGGCCGCAGCACAGCCGGGTGGTGCCGGGTCTCACCCAGAGCGCCAGCGCCGGGGGCAGCTGAGAGTACTGAAGCAGGCCGCGGCACAGCCGGGTGATGCCGGGTCTCACCCAGAGCGCCAGCGCCCGGGGCAGCTGAGAGTACTGAAGCAGGCCGCGGCACAGCCGGGTGTCTCACCCAGAGCGCCAGCGCCGGGGCAGCTGAGAGTACTGAAGCAGGCCGCGGCACAGCCGGGTGGTGCCGGGTCTCACCCAGAGCGCCAGCGCCGGGGCAGCTGAGAGTACTGAAGCAGGCCGCGGCACAGCCGGGTGGTGCCGTGTCTCACCCAGAGCGCCAGCGCCGGGGGCAGCTGAGAGTACTGAAGCAGGCCGCAGCACAGCCGGGTGATGCCGGGTCTCACCCAGAGCGCCAGCGCCGGGGGCAGCTGAGAGTACTGAAGCAGGCCGCAGCACAGCCGGGTGGTGCCGGGTCTCACCCAGAGCGCCAGCGCCGGGGGCAGCTGAGAGTACTGAAGCAGGCCGCGGCACAGCCGGGTGATGCCGGGTCTCACCCAGAGCGCCAGCGCCGGGGGCAGCTGAGAGTACTGAAGCAGGCCGCGGCGCAGCCGGGTGATGCCGGGTCTCACCCAGAGCGCCAGCGCCGGGGCAGCTGAGAGTACTGAAGCAGGCCGCGGTGCAGCCGGGTGATGCCGGGTCTCACCCAGAGCGCCAGCGCCGGGGGCAGCTGAGAGTACTGAAGCAGGCCGCAGCACAGCCGGGTGCAGCCGGGTGTCTCACCCAGAGCGCCAGCGCCGGGGCAGCTGAGAGTACTGAAGCAGGCCGCGGCACAGCCGGGTGATGCCGGGTCTCACCCAGAGCGCCAGCGCCGGGGGCAGCTGAGAGTACTGAAGCAGGCCGCGGTGCAGCCGGGTGATGCCGGGTCTCACCCAGAGCGCCAGTGCCGGGGCACGGCTGAGAGTACTGAAGCAGGCCGCGGTGCAGCCGGGTGATGCCGGGTCTCACCCAGAGCGCCAGTGCCGGGGCACGGCTGAGAGTACTGAAGCAGGCCGCAGCACAGCCGGGTGATGCCGGGTCTC